CCCTCCCTCTCTCTCTCTCTCTCACTGCTTCTCCCCTCTACCTCCCCTCTCTCTCTCTCTCCCTCCTCCCTCTCCCTCCCCCTCTTTCCCCTCTCTCTCCCCATCTCCCTCCCTCCTTCCTCCCTCCCTCCCCCTCTCCCCCCTCTCTCTCAGCCACACATACAAACAGAACTGTACTCACCCGAGTGATCATCTCCCTTTGATGTCCACAGGCCTGACCTCATCAACTATGACCGCTTGGACCCAGCTGACCATATCGGCAACCTTAACAACGCCTTTGATGTGGCCGACAGAGAGCTGGGCATACCTAAGATCTTGGATGCTGAAGGTTCGGACCCTCTGGTTTTTTTTTCTTTTCTAATTTTAATTTTTGGTCATCAATGCCGTTCACCCCTTGCAGGGTATAGGCCACATACAAGCTCCTTTCATTTATCTCTGTCCTGGGTCATCCTTCCAACCTCGTTCCAAGTGAGCTTCATCTCTCTCATGTCCCTTTCCATGCATCTCCTCCATGTTTCCCGTGGCCTACTCCTGCCTCGTGCTCCTTGTGGGTTCCACTGCAGCGACTGTCTTGTGATGTTTCCGCTGGGCTTTCTCAATGTGTGTCCCATCCATCGCCACTTTCTTAGTCCTATTTCTACTTCTATATCCTTTTGTCCTGTCCTTTCCCACAGCTCTTCATTTCTTACTCTATCCTGCCATTTAATTCTTAGGATACTCCTCCTACATCTGTTGATGAAAGTCTGGAATTTATTCAGCACTTTCTTTGTTGTCTTCCAAGTTTCACAGCCGCTATAATAATACATACAGTTTTGATTTTTTAATACAAGGGGTCAGTTGAGGCGAGGTCTTACAGGGATGCCACTTTTCCGCTTTTCTCCCCGTATTTCCAGTATTTTGATCCTGATCCGCTATTCCGTTATTGAGATCGAGATACAATCTATAGTTGGAAAACAAAACAAACAACCCCTCCCCCCCCCACACACAACTTGCGCCAAATGTTCAAATAACTGAACAAATGAAGACTTTGCCATAAGTTCAAATAACGGGTTCTCCTGTTTTTGTTTATTTGTCATTTCTCTCTATGTACACCCTTTGGGTTTCAAATTGATATTCATATATATGTTAGCAAGACCGTGACGAGTAGATTTTCAGCTATTTAAAAAAATAATTGAGTGGCATCCCTGGTCTTAATTGAGTAGACCTACAGGTGATTGTCTTGGACAGGTGGTTGTTTAGAGCAGGTTGCACTATTTTACTGTTACCTCAACAACGCCTTTGATGTGGCCGACAGAGAGCTGGGCATACCTAAGATCTTGAATGCTGAAGGTTTGGATCCTCTTGGTTTTTTTTTTTCTTATTTAATTTTTGGTACTATTTAGTTAAGGTGAAGAGTGTGTGTGTGTGTGTGTGTGTGTGTGTGTGTGTGTGTGTGTGTGTGTGTGTGT